CTCACTTTTTTACTATGCCATCGTTCACGCAGTCCATCCATCTGTTTTTCGGTCTTCCTCGACCCTTATAACTCCTTCATATGTAACACCTTCCTTAAAATATTATTGAGTATTGTTTTAGATGATAAGTGCTAGATAGCTCATACACTAGAATGACATCTTAAATGTATATAAAATTCCTGTGACACAATGTTAACCCTACTCCTCTGAAACTTTATATTCATATTCAAAGGGTTTGAGAATCGGTTACTATGTATTTTTCATACCCCTAAGTGACAAGGGTTGTCCACACGTAATTATTATTTATTTTTTGGACAATATTATTTTTTTATATTTTCATATAGCATTAAAAATACACACAACCCTAAATTTTCTCCCTTTCACCATCTACCCCTATTTTTTAATAATTATTTTTATTTATATGGCAAAACTTTTGCGGGGTCAGCTAACATAGGCTATAAATTTCACGCGTGTGAAACTGCGGGCACAGCTAGTTTATTATTCGTCTGTTTACTACATTCCTATGAGGAGGTCTCTGTTAGAAGCATAGGTGACAATGTTAGTATATTATTTAGATATGAGCCGGTTTCCGGAGCCGGTGAGGTCACACTTTCACGAAGCACCTGTATATATTTACTATTCCGAATATATACGTAATTTAACACGAGTTATGTCCGGCCAGTTTAACCGACGCAGAAACGAAGAAGTAACAGTATTTTTTTTTATTACATAAGATGTTTTTATAGTCTATGGTATCAGATTGACTGGATGAGTTTCTTGTCAGTATGGTTTTCTCTTCCATTCATCCCTGTTCGCAGTAATCTTGTTATCACTCCCTTTCTTTCATAAATCCACGCAGCTCTTTTTGGCCTTACTCTGCTCCTATAACAACCCACATTCATATACATATAACACTTTCTTTAAAATATTCTGTTTTAAGAATTACATGCCCAATTGTTAATGCAAGCTGCTTAATTCGTCAGTTACTAAATGTTTTCTATATAATATAAAACATTTAGTATAGTAGAGGTGTTTAAGCAATACAATATTTTTTTCTTTCTGTTTCAAGATAGATTGGTCTATACCTACGAATAAGACTATGCTACTTGCGGTATTGTTTTCAGGCTACAGATTTTATGATTGTGTTTGCAATCGTTATAAATTTAAATCAATAAGAGTTTGTTATTGTGCATATTACTTTTTTTTAACTAAACCAGAGCTCCACCTACAAGACCGCGGCTAAACTATGAATGATTGAACCTTATTACATATAACTTTTAAGGTGATTTTTGTAAAGCATCTACAATTTTAATGAAATAAACACTATATTTATTTCTACACCTACTGAATTTGTAAAGTTTATAATTGATTTTGAAAGATACTTATTTCTGTAGCGTAATAAAATTTCCAAATTGTAGGAATTTGGTCAGCATAATAATATGTAGGTAATCGGTTAGAAATCAAATGACTGAATGATCAAAATTACTGCAGAATCGATAATTATTCTATACATTAATGTCGCCACAGATAACTAATCTTGATTATGAAGCAACATTCCTTATCAATCGAGTAAACCACTCGTTTTATTGAAATGTTTAACCACAGAATACTAATATTTATTAATTATTATCTATTATCAATACTAGATCAACCTATTGGTTAGAATGGAACTCGTAAAGATCTATGGGTTACCAGTTCTAATCACGGGAATTCAATATTATATTTTTTACAAGCCTTATGTTGTAAATCAGTAGTACTTACATGTATTGTGCTGTGTTATACGTTGTGAGTCCATTATGATGTAGATATTAATGAATATAACTAAAATATTATATATAAATTTCACTCGCATTTAAAGAGGTTTAAATTAATATGGGACTTACCTGTTACGGAAGCAACGATGGAGAATAGGCCTGTTCCGACAGAGCTTTAGGTTTCACATCCAATTTCTAATTCCTTAGATTAAGATTGAATTAAAAAATAAAAACACTATTAAAAAATAAACAGTCACCGTTCAAGTCCTTCATAATTCTTTCACTTTCACAGTACCTAAGTTTATTAATTCAAATTTCGAATAAGACAGGCAATAAAAAAATAGATCGGTATTTGAAAATTTTCAAAATTAGAATGCGACACGGAGTTTATGATGCGCTCCAAGTAGAGCATAGAGTAAGTCTGCGCGATCGCGGCAAAGGTCGGTTATCAACTGGCTGGCGGCGAGAGGCTGCTGGGTGTGTTTGGGGCCGCGTGAATGTAAAGGCTTTTCGATCTGCGATTACGGATTAACTAGTACCATCGTCGGATATAGCCCGTAAAGGCAAACAAGAACTACCTGTAGGAAGTGTAGCAGGCAGGAGGAAATTTTTAAATTTGGTAAATTTATAGTTTCCTCTACGACTTATAATTTCTGGTTCCTACCATAGATTGAAAAATTTTAAGAATATGTAAAAAAAAGTAGACGAACCATATCGTTATAACGTGTGTGTGGGAATATTTCTAAAATAATAATTTCAAGTTTAAAATACTGAAGCCAATGAATTCACCACTGGCTTTGGCACAAAATTAGTTGTTAATCAAGTATAACCTAGTTAGACCGAGTTATACGTGGTCGCTCCAGGAACCCATAATTATTAATTCCTACTGATGACCACGACCTTAAAAAAATATTTCACTCTCGACCTTTCGTCCTTCACTAGTGCCTCGCTATCATAAAAAAAGAACCTGTTGTGTATGAATATATATAATATAGGTAGGTATGTTGTGTCATATTGCCATGCCCTTTCAGGGAGTCACAAAGATTTGTAAAAAAATATATCATAAATATACATATATCTATTATATATTCTATATGATGAGGTTATTTTTCTAAATGATGAATGATGTAACAAAAAACAAACACAAAACGATATCAATTTACAGACAGATGCCTAAATTATTTGATGATTTAAGAAGAAAAACATTACTTGATGACGCATCAAAAACGGTCGCCATTGTAATTAAGCCTTATTAAGCACGCGTAACAATTTGCAGAGTTGTCTAATTTCGATGACAGCATGGTTATCAAGCATCTAATGCTTGTTAACCAGGTCTGCATTTTATTAGAAAAATGATAGACGACATTACTGGTACCTATACAACATATATACAAAAATATTCATGTGGTAATAATGAAGTTTAGAAAAGTAAACGAAGTAAATATTTCATCATTGTTTGCTGTGTACCTACTACTTATGACACGTTTGACATCATCAAAAAGGTGAGATTCATTGCACTCATTTCATAAACGTTTTTCATTTCATTTGGAGGGTTCGGTGATTTAGCGGTTACGCACACCGGTTTCCAATAGTCGCGGGTTCGATTCCTCGCACGTTAAAAACATTTGTATTCATGAGTATGATTGTTTAGAAATTTTTATACCGTGCCATTCGAAACCAACAACCATCGGAAGTAAAGCAGCTAAACCGCTGGACCACCGAGGCCGTCAATTTAATTAATTAGCCATAACTGAGCTATTGTAGAAGATATGAGAATGACTTAGGATGAGTTTGAAGCTAGGCAGTTTTGTCATCGTGACGTATTTAAGTTTTTTTTTCTATATCCATCCTGCAGTTAGTCGAAGTCTGTACAGGTGTCGTAAAGTTACGCAGTTGCGGGTAGTGTGATTGCCTCTTTAGTCATCGGATTCCAGTAACGTACGCTTTTTAAGGCGACGTATGTTGTCGGGGACTGAATTATACTGAATAATATTTAAAAATTAACGTATATAGTTTCCAGGCTCACTGGAACGAAAACCTTGGTACTTCGTCAATGGCGCTCACCGTGTATTTTTTTGTGGGTAAGAATTCTACACACCTTCTCATCACACAATAAGCGGGGCACGGTCTTTGAAAATTTTACAAGATAAAAAAAGGTCACTACATGCAGTACGCCTTCATAGATATTACTAGCAATACCAAACCGCTTCAAATTTTTCATCTAATGCATTTATGTGGAGAAGAACTGGAAATTAACTGTTTACACCAATCTGTTAACATATTATCTACGTATTTAAATAGTATATCTAACTTTTTAAGTGGTAGAACACGCTGTACAACGAAGCATTCTTGTGCGGCACGAATCGACCCGCTGAAACCCGGAAATACTCCTCAAAATAGAGATGAGTCGAAGTTTTGGCCCATCCTATCCCTTTTTAGTCCCTGCTCCGGTCCACCTCTTCTTAAAAGGCCGGCAGTTCACCTGCAATAAACCTCGGGTCATTGGGGGAAGGTGATTGGTAGTAATGTGGATTCATGACCTCATTATTAGAAATGTACCATGTCAGGTTGACCTCCACGCTGTTCGCCCTGGAAACTATCGTGATAAATTCCTGGTGAATTTGTCACGTTGGGCTAACTGATCTGACTTCATGCTCATCCTATCATCCTCCACTGGTGCCCCGCCAGCGTAATCCGTTAGCGCAGGCGGGTGCACCATTTCATTATCATATACAAAAAAAAACCTCTGGTTATTGGGGGAAGGAGATTAGTAATGTGACTAATGATCGTATTGCTAGCAATTTACTGTGTTAGGTTGACCTCCATGCGGTTGCCCCTGAAAACCGTCGTAATAAATTCCTGGTGAATTTGCCACGATGGGCTAACTGACCTGACTTCATGTTCGTCTTATCATCCTCCACTGGTGCGTAAGCCGTTAGCACAGGCGGGTGCATCATTTCATTATCGTCCACTAAAAAAAAACCTCGGGTTATTATTCTTCGATTTGTATTCGGTGTTTTTTAACCGGAGAAACCGGTCAATCAGAAACATAAATTGACATATTTTTTTTTGTTTTGGCCAGACTTCAACTCACGACCTCTTAGGTGCATTTGAAGGTCAACCACTAAGGCAAGACACTCTCAGTTTTGAAAGCAATTGGTAAATAATCTATATCTGCCTCGTTGTTAAAAATATTAGGTGAAATTAAAATGTAATGTACTGTTTAACAGAAATAAAAATAAAATATACATGTTATAAAAATGTTTATTGTTTACTATTATTTACATAACTTAATTTGGTCATGATGACAGTTTATATGGACAATATCTCGTGGTACATAATATTTCAATTGAGGGTATAGTACACAGCGACGTAACGATAGGGGAGCAGAGCGGGTGAAATACCACAGGCTCCGGACCAAGGGAGCCCTCTGATTCAAGGGTCCATGAGCACATGACGAAGACACTATATTATAATTATAATCCAAATTCACACAGAGACGTCTAGTCTAACGATAAGCAGAGCTTGTGTTATGGGTACTAGACAAATACATTTTTATTTTGTAAACACATAGAAAACACCCAGACAATCACTAATACAAACAATCATACCTATGAATACAAGTATTTGCATAGTGGAATTGAACCAACAATGCAAAATTTAAGGAATTGAACCCCCGACCATCGGAGGTAAAGCGATGTGCTAAACCCATCTCCGAGGCCGACAATATATTCAACAATTTTGTTGTTGGTAATCTGTCTATGAAACTACAACATGAAGGTTTTTAGATAGAGAAAGGGCCTAGTAGGTATGACAAATTTACAGATAAATACGAGTATGTTTGGAATTATTTAAACTTAATAACTACAATATGTTTCTAAGTACATAATAATTCTATTAAAATATAATTCAGTAATGTTTATATTTATCTGTTCTATTACCTACTATTAAAGATGTTTATAAACATTATTTTCGAGATTCTCAATTATAATCATCATAGACTTTAAACCAAACCTTTAAGGAGTGGTCCAGAGACAGTCACTGTTGCCAACCTTAAAATATTTAGCCTCAAACAAAAAATAAAAAAAAACTTTTATATTAACTGAATTTGGTTACTCTAACTTCATAAAACATAGTATTGTGACCAATTTCCATAGGTCAAAATGGATTTACGACACTTGAATGAGAATGAAAATCTCCTCAAACTGAAGGCCAAAAATCGAATTTTCTGTATGAATTTTGTCATATGGTTCGCATTCCTGGACCTACTTATTTTTTTCTCAGATTATTGCCTAGAATGTGCTATTTGAGAATCATATAATTATATCAATACAGTTGTTACTACCATATATATGGCCAGACTGACCTTACCATTTCCTTTATATCAGTTCTTAACAATTATGAAAATCTAATGAACTTATATATTTCTTACTTAAGCGTAAGGCCTACTGCCATTTGTCTACTAATAACATATGGGTATTAATTTTGTATAGTCTTATTTTTATTATTATTTATTTTACTATTTCATGTTATTAATTGACAAAAAAAATCTCCTTTTCTTGGGACAATCAAAGACAACTTAATGTATAAGACAACATAACTACAATTATTTAAAAACTAAAAAATTAAATTACCTTTTATATCTTATCTGAACAACTGTCTATTATTGCTGTTTATAAAATTCTGTATAATATATAGCTGGTATATGTATACTCTCTTTGCATGTGCAAAGAGACAAATTAGTCTGCTTGTTTTTTTTTATAGTATCATAGTTTGTAACCATAGCCAATTGTTGCAGTAAATAAAATAAAAACAGATGAAAATTATGGAAAGACAATTTTCTGACAAGTTCTCATGTACTGCATGTAATTTAGATAAATACATATTGGTACAAAATGATAAACAGTCCAAATTTATCACCTACGATGAAAACCACCACTCTTTGACTTCTATAACTGTGGTTTGTGATCTTTATCCAAAATGAGTGCTGGATTCTGCATATCGAGCTGGCATTGTGCAATGTCGCTCAAAGCACCCTGGATTTTTTCTAGCAGAATTTCACCTTGACGGACCACCTGAAAATATATTTATTCACATAACATTAATGACCTGGAGCTAGAAGACCAGCAATAGCTCGAGGATGCAGATGGGTAGAAGTCTGCGATAGGAAGTCACTCTAAATGACAGCATTTAGAAAATATACATTTATAGTCTTTCGACTGATTGCAAATATACTCAGAGAAAAAAACATAACTTTAATGTACAATATAAACAGTACACTTAATTAATATTATTAAATTAAAATAATTAAGCAATCCCGGAATAAATAAAAAGCTAATAAATGTTAGCTAAGAACCATCCTAATTGTGTCAACTTTCATATCATAATTGGCCCATTTGTTTAGGAGCTACAATGCCACAGACAGACAGACACACAGATACACAGACAAGTGAAACTTGTCATAATATTACACTTCTCTATTCACATGGGGATTAATAATATTAAAAAGAAGTACCTCTTCGAGTTGCTCAGCGGCCTCTTTATTTTCGGCTTCTAATCGCTTCAAACTTTGCACCTGCAGATCTGCTGAACTCTCATCATTCGGCAGAGACTCAATCAAAGTGTCAATATCCTTTGCACATCGTGATATAAGTGTGGCGAATAGCATTGCATAGTCCTCTTGATTTTGTTGTTGTTGAGGCGTTTGTGATCCACTACGGTCGAAACCAGGAAATTTACTAGGCGTCGAGAACTGTTGCAGTATGCCAATGCTATTGCAGAAATGCTCAGCTTGCTGAAAACCAAAAACATTCAGTACCTGCCTGCTGTAAACCAAATTGATTTTGTAGTACAAAATTTAAATAAACTGTTACCTGATTTATGGTATCTTGTAATTGAGTTAGACGATCAGCCATATTTTTTAATTGAAGATAAATTTATTGATATTAAATAAAGTGAATGTATTAAACACTAGATAACTCAGTTTTCTGTGTAGATGTTTTCATTTCAACCATCTCGTTCTGTGCTGTCAAAGTTTAAAGTACACTATGCTTACTCTTTAATATTGATGGATTGACAGCGGAGATGATATTCTTATGTCATTACGCAATTTTTTTAGTGCGTCTGTACATTCCAATGCAAAAACGTTACATACATACGGCCATGTTTTGATTTGCTGATATTTTTAATATTTACAATTAAAACTTTCAAACATGTTAGGAACAAATAATACAATTGATTTAATGAATTGTTTCAAGTGATTTAGGTGATAGTTTTAAATTTTATTTAGTTTCAGGTTTAAAGAATACCGGTCATTGCTTAAATAATGCTTGCAATGTACTACCCTAGGGGTAATGTCCCCCATGTGCAGTGTGAGATGCATTACACGCTTGTACAATAAGCGAGTTCTTGACATCATTTTTGTTAAACAACATATTAGTTATAGTGGAGTATCAATAAATAAGTAGGATATCATGGTACAAAACACAACAATTCAGTCAATATTTCAAAAATAATATTCTAAATACGACAAACAAAAGAAGGCACTTCTGTTTTGCACACAGGTGTTGTTGGCGGACGGCGTTTTTCTGACTACCCTATCAGGTCGACTTCTACCCGTGGGCTAATTATCTAACTTCGTTCGCAACGATTTTCGTATGTAACGTAGTGAACCCAAGTGGAAACTATCGTAGTTAAATAAGAAATTTATTTTTAGATTTCAACTTTATTTTTTGGTGAAAGCGATTCAGTTTCATGAGTACCTATTCTACGTGGCTTCCGATTCTTTACGATCTTTACTCATTTATTGGTCATAAAAATGATAATAATAAAAAAAGTTTTTTAGATACTATAAACTTTCTTTATTCATAAGCATTATACATACCTACGGATTAATGACTAGGAAGTAAAAATATCACAATTCATGATTCAAATTTTTTTTGTAAAAAAAATAGATTTGATACCACAGATTTAAATAAGTATAAATTACCAATAGTTTTCAAACTAAAATAAATGCTTTTTATTTTTCATTGTGATAATTTTAAAATTAAATAAATAATGTTTATGAACAGATTGAATGTGTATAAAAATTAAACGCCTATTAATTTTTATATGACTAGATAACTTTAGTATTTATTAATAACTTACAAAATCAAAGATATTATCATTGATTCAAATTCATAAAATACCTTAAACAAGGTATTGTTATTGGTACAAATGCAGTAAAAAATCTCAACTAAAATTTAAACAGCTTTAAAACATAGCTATGTAAATAGGTGAATAGGTGGAGCGCAATAGAAGCAACAAACAACTGAATTTTCCAACATAACATGCATAGTGTTTTGGGACAGGCTTTAGAAGCGTCTACATATTCTTATCTCCAAAATCGGAGTAATTATATGCCTTATTATAATAATAATAATAAAAAAATGGATCACTTTGTGTGTAGGAAAATAGTCACCATTGTTACCAATATTCTGCTTGAAGAATTCCTTACATATATAGTGATCTAGGGCGGTCTCCACAACTCCAATATCGTTAACGATTTTAGGGCCATATGTAGACGCTTTATAATATATTTCAATGATATAATTGTAAACAGGTATTACACGTTAATAAATTAATTGAAAAAAATTACAAACTTAACAATACTAGCTTTATATAACATAAAGAATACCAAAGACAAGTGAGATTTTGTTGGTCAGTCTCATTCTAGGTGAAAAAAGTGAATTTTTAATTCTCTTTTTTCTAGACTATTAAAACATGTGGTTGATATAGAATGGAACCCTGACTACAGTTGTTGCTGTATACAATATTACACTATTAATTTATATATCAAGAGAAATTGAATAAAAACATAAGTTTCTAATAAATAATTTACACTATTTCTAGTTTGATTATTTGGTTTGTATAAATCTATAAGCTACATAATCATTTCCTACTATGATTTCATTCTAATTAATTAAAAATTTACCATACTCCAATGTGAATTCAAGAGTAATGTTATAAAAACAGGGCCCTAAAAATTAAAACAATCAGATATTTAAGTTTATACATCTTAGAAATGTAATAAGATTTTTTTTTAAATTACAATAATACAAAACTGACTAGAAATGAATAGGAACACAATGTGAATAGTGAGGCAAAGGGCACAACACAAGTTAGAGGTGGACTTACTTAACAGTCTTATAGTGTGAAGGGTTTACTTAATAATATTATTATTAATTATTGTGTCATTCTTATTAATATATTAAGCTGTATGAGTAAATAAGTTACACTCATAAGTAATACTTTTTATTTAAACACTTTAATTTTTTTTATAACACTAAATTATAAACTAAATTAAAGTGTTTAATAAATAACTATGAAATACAATATTGCACTACAAAATAAGGTACACTGTGATAAGTTGAAGTGAGAATTAATAAATGTTATGTATGATACTATACTAATTATCGTGCCAGTACTCCTAGTTTACTCCTTAACTGAGAATCAGTTGGTAAAGCTAGAGCCCATTTACGCAGGCCCACTAACATTACTGAACTTAACACTAAAATGGCTCCACACACTGAATATTTGCTTGGAATCTCATTGAAGAACATTACTTGCCATAAGAATGCGAATACTATGTCTGCTGAACGAGCAATTGCTACAGGTCCCGCCTGCTCCATTTGTAAAGACATTGTCAATAATATCTGTCCTAAATAGCTAAAGAGAGCAAGGCATACAACAAGAAATCTTTCTGTACCACAATTCGGCATACACAATACCCCAAAAATAAATGAGTAAAACAATGTTTGTAATATAGCAATAGCACCAAAATTTGTCATAATTACAGAGAAATGCAGACCTTTCAGAACTCTTAGTAGAACATAAGCATTAGCCCCAAATATTGTTGAAATGAAAGCTGCAACTGCGCCTCTTAAGCTATTGTAATTTTCGTTTTGATCAGAAACAGGCTCATTTCCAAAGAGAAATGGTGGATGAGTTATCAGAATAACACCAATTAGAGTCAATATAATAGATATCGTATTCCAAATACCACAAGGTTCCTTTAAAAATACACGGGCAAATAAGGCTACAAATACTGGTACAGAGAAAACTATGACAGATGCATCAGCTAAAGGCATGTTCCGGAATGCATAGAAACTTAACATTAACCCAACCGTGCCGACAATTGATCGTAAGGCGAGCAGTAAACGTTTGCCTGCAGGGAACACAGGCTGTTCAGTGTAAATGACTATGGGTATTGTTGGTAGTAACACTCCTATGAACCTGAACATTGCAAGCTGCATCGGATGAATATTTACAAGACTCTTAACAATTACTGAGCACAATGAGAAGAATAGCGATGAGAGTGTTGCAAGTATAAGGCCCAAATATGGACATCTTTTTATTAGCGGTCTTTTATTTTCGAGTAGATTCGGTAGGGTTTCATCTCCGCTACCAGCAGATAGGTCAACAAGGTGCTGTAATTCTAGGTGTTCCGGCATCGCTTTGTTATGTCGACTGTAATAAATAAAGAAATGCAGCTAAAAATTAGTTAATACTTCGCACAAAAACCCGACAAATAACCCCATATACCTACCGAGAAAGTAGTTTGATCTGTATAATTTATTATAGTCTGGTCATGCTTAATATGCGATTAATTCACTTAATTTTGATGCATACAATGCATTATAACAAAATTATAACATACAATTTCATTTTTTATTATTTTAGACAATGTTAAAATTACAACTTAAAACAAAGATGAAATTAGGTGCATGACTTATGACAGACACTCAGTCGAACTGTCTTACTGACTTTTCTTTGACTTATACTCCTGCACAGAGAATAATAAGTAACATTGACGTCATAAAATTAATTCTCTACGATATTGTAGTCTGTGCTTTGTCTCCCATTAAAAAAAAGTTTCACTTTTAAAATTGCATAGAATATGTTATTAAGTATTTTCATTATTGTATGTTAAACAGAAAAAAACGTTTCTATTCCATATTTAGTCCTTGTTAGTTTAGGTAGACTATTCTATTATGTATTTAATACAAAGTTACTAATCTACTGGTACATTACTTCGCATCTTTTTAAATTAAACTTCAGGCGCGCAGTGTTCAAGTTTTTTACTTTATTTAGTTTAACGTAACCTTATGAAGAAGATGTATAATGAATAAAGTTAAGTACACTTTGTGCAATGTTATTGAGAACATATTGAGTACAATTGAGAATCGCATAACTGCAGCAGACACTAAAGAACGTAAATATTTTTTTATTATCCTAATATCACGATGCATGTGGCCTAAATATTGTATATATATATTGTTTAGTATTTCAATAACGCTCGACTTAATTATTAAGGATATCTGTACATTTTTTTTATTATGAAATTTGAGCGCGAAAATTTCTTACATAAATACACAAACTTTCATAAAATACAATATTAGAACACATCCATTGGTAGTTTAATAACATTGAAATGTATAGTTGACTTTTAAGTTTCAGACGAAGATCTACTATCCCTCCATTCAGTGTTTGGTGTCATCCTTCAAAGAGCATTAGACATCTTGGAAAAATATCCTACTCTCATAGGATATATAACAAAAACATCTCGAGTTTTAATAGAAATAAACGGTGAGAATGACCGATGCTATAGAGTTTTTCCAAGGATAAATTTTTGTCCTTGCCCAGCATTTAAGCATCAGGTATTGGAGAGGAAATCACAATTTTACTGTAAACATGTATTGGCTGCTCGTATAGCTCAAATCTTGGGTAAGGTTGTGTATCAAGAAGTGACCCAAGAGCAATATTTGATGCTGTTAAATTCTATGTTTGATTTGGAAGGGAATAATGGATGACGGAACTTCTCAGTATTATTTTACTGCCTCTATGGACTCAGGAAAAACCCTGTGTAGCTTGTTAAAGGCTATTCAGTTTCAGGAGGTGATTACAATAAATTGATTTAGTAATATTATAATAGTAATATTATTATTATATATATATATCACATAGTGCATTTGCAGTAATGTATAGTAAGAATAAGGCTCGTCATATTCATCATTTATACAAGTTTGTATCTTTGTATTTAATTTAAATGAGTGATGTTAAAAAGTTTGTAGCATGTTAAATATAGATTAACATGAAAAAATTCTATTGGTTAAATTCCTACTTTTTTAAGGATATCTCAGTGTACTTAACAAGTGACACCATAAAACAATAATCTAACACTACAGTTCTTAAATTAATTATTAAAATTGTCATGAATCAGTAAAACTTTTGGATTGCAAAAACTATAATGTTTAATATTAACACTTATTTACATATATATTAAGTTCATAATTTTTGGAATTTCAGTGTGCAGTGTTCTGTGCTCTCCCAGAAGGTCTGAAGTTTACAGTTGAAGAAGGCAAGTGTGTGCAAGCATCAGCATATGTTCCCGCTGATAACTTCACGGAGTACCATGTCAGAGATGATGTGGATGTTATGTTTAAAGTAAATATCATACAATAGTACCAATAGTTTAGTATATGTATAATAGTAAAAATATGTTAGTAAAAATTATGGGATCTTACTTATTAGTATTTATTGAGTTCCTGATATTTAGGCAGTGTTTCACAAAACGCGATCAGTAAGTGTATTAAATGTACCTGATGATATGGTGAGTATAGTTTGCTGAGATGAATATCGAGCGAGTTCTAATAGTAGCAACAAACAAAGACATGTGAAGGTAAATGTCTGCCTATATAAAAGATTTTATTACCATCTCATTCTTCAGTTTACCCATGAACATGGTGGTTGAAACACTGTCGAAATATCGGGAACTCAATAAATATAAAACATGATAAGAACCCGTGCATTTATGTATAAATAATGACTGCGTCAAATTTAAAACAGTATATAACAGTTTAGTAGTATCCATAATTTACTGCTACTAAACAACTGATTGAAATACTATTTTGTACATACCTTACACAAGTCATCACGAAATGAAGTGGTATAACATGATGATTGGAAGTAAGGTAGTATGCTAAAGGACTAGACTATTGAGACTATTATGTCAATTATAGGAAATTGATTTTATTATAGCAGTTATTTAAAATAGTTATGGTCCTATAAGTCTGACAATCTATATATGTAGATGTACATATTTTTAGAACTATATATAATAGTTTGAAAGTTCACATTGTTCTTATGTGTTTCAGATAAGTATAGTAGTTCTAGCTGAATGTCTCAATATATTTGGTTCAGGAGAAGAATCTAGTCTGAAGATGTATTACAGATGTGAAGGATCACCTTTGTTATTAGTGTAAGTGACATCTACATTCCTCTGCATCTGATTAAGTTTTGTAAAAAAAAAGAAATGTAAGCAGTGGATAAGACTTTTTTAATGTTGTATATAATTATTAATAACCGTGGATAATTCACACAGCGCCAAATCTAAGAATTTAAATTAAAATGCCAAATTAAACAGAGTTTGTGTTATTATGAGTACTAGACAACTGATATAAATACTTAAATACATAAGTTTACTACTTATGTATTTAAGTATTTATATCAGTATACATAGAAGTAATCCAGACTAATACAAACAATCATACTTATAAATAACAATGTTTGCACTGTGGGAGGAATCGAAGTAAGGCTGTGTGCTAAACTGATAGACCACCGAAGCCTAAATAATGGAATGCACCAGTGGAGCACTTTCTTTTATACTACGATGGTGCCAAACGAGCATACGGCCCATCAGATGGTAAATGTTTACCGTAGCCTATGGACGCCTGAGACACCAGGGGAGTCACTTGCGCGTTGTCAATCCTTTGATATGATAAGCATGAAGTTGGTATGTTAACTGACTTGAACCTCATCCTCATGTTAACATTCTTCTAGTCTTAGATCAGGTGTGTGCACCGTTCCTTATTAAAATAAAAGCTACACAAGAATCTTATTAATATTATAAATGCGAAAGATTCTGAATATGGATGGATGTTTGTTACTCTTTCACGCAGAAACAACTGAACGGATTTTGTTGAAACTTTACTGTGACAGCTTATACATCGGAATAACACAGGCTATAAATTTCATGAAGGTGAAACCGCGGGTACATCTAGTACTTTATAATTTATTATACTTTCCAGGCTACAACCTCAATCGGTCTACAATGTAATGACAGACTGCGAAATATCAACGCAGAATGCGGATTCGATTCTCGAACTTCGAGATGAAGACACTCCTGAAGTGGCTAAGTTAGTATTGAAGGCACCAGCGTTGTTGGGGCTGCTATCAGACCTTGAACGGTCGTGTGACGTAATAGAAATTAATTTGTCACCTGAACACCCTAATGTTAGCATTGTTACTTATGGAATGCAGGTTAGTAAATAATTATGATCAATGTTACGGAAGGAAGGATGGACTGTATTAAGGCTGGTTAAAAATGAGACACGTTCTTAGGTGAGGTAAAATAGCTGTAATCAGCTCGCTAGCGATAGCTATATAAAAAACATAAAAACTATCAAAAAGGTTGCCATCGGCAACAATCACATACACGATGTGTAGAGCTAATGAAGCATTTCTCATGCATTTGCTTGGTCAAGTTATGTCATATTTTTTTATGTTTAATAATGGTAAAGAAGTTGCCTACCAGATGGTAAGTGGCAACGTCTGCCGATTGGGGGGAAGGGGATTGTTAGTAATGTGGGCTAACCCCATTGCTAGCAATGTACCATGTCAGGTTGACCTCCGCGCGGTTCCCTCTGGAAACCATCGTGGTAGATTGCCATATGCCAAGACGGCCTAACTGACCTGACCTCATGCTTATCTTATCATCTTTCAGTGTAAATCGTTAACGCAGGCGAAGGAACCATTCCATTCTCATCCATTAAAAAAAATGCTGCCTATATACATACATGCACAGCATATATGTGACGCCCATAGTATCACATTGCCGTTCTTGAGGACTAAGATGTCATTACTCTCTGTATTCTCACTGCTATATGTTAAAACAGTAAGTTTATTAAATTCACGTATGTAGTTTTAAAACATGCTTTATATTTATTTCTAAAAACTGAAATCCTTTTATATTCCTAATATCGTTTTATTATTATTTTAATTAAGAATCAAGCACGAATGAAAGAGACAAAAAAGTTCAACAGAAACGGTTTGGTTGTTTTGTTTATAAAAATAATTTTACAGGACAGATCCTGTATCGAAGTAACGAAATCGTCAGATATGGTGCAAAGTTTCAGTTGCGAAGAGTCAATAACACTGAAATATCAGTTGTATCACTTTCGGCTTATTATGAAAGCGCTTGCCATATCAACCAAGGTTTGCGTAATTATATTTATGTATTATTAATATTATATATAATCCAAACCCTATTAAGGCGGGATCGAACCTTAACCTGTAAGCCCCGGAGATAATACCGGGGCAAAAGGTTCCGCTCTTCAATGTAAGTATATTTGAATAAAGAATTTTCTATTCATTCTATTCTATTTATATATTACTTGCTTGTAGGTGGTGTTAAGATGCACTTCAAATGGTTTATTGTTACTCCAATTGAAGTTGGAAAAAGAAGATCAGAGGCAGATGTTTTCAGAATTTTATATTATACCACTGTTGGACGACTGAAAGACAACACTAATACCTCTTTGATAACACTGGGCTGTGAAATAAATATTACGTGTTCATACAAAATAGATGTTTTATTTCATTCTCAAAAATTACATTCAACTTATATTGGGAATGTTATTAAAATTATGCAGCTCAGTGGCTTGTCTATTTGCTGAAACAAACAACATAATATAAACGAAATAAAGTTTGTACCCTTGACTATGGCCGTCTGGATTATTTTCCTTTGCGTGAGCATGTAGTTGTATATTGATATGTATTTTGTTTTTTTAGTAGATTAAGGCGACGCCTTTGCGTAGAGCCATCATTGTTTTTACACTATATCTTCTGTGACAAATTATAATTCCAAATTACAAAATATGTATTTATATTTTAAAGATTTTATTAGGTTACTATATTGAATTTAAATGTACAAACTTCAGTTTTAATAACACATGCATTAGTAAATATACCAGCGGCCATTTTTGATAACGTCACGGGTTCTTAGCATATATATTCTTATGATATATATAAATAAAACAATATAGGTAAGTATATATAATAGTTCACCATAGAAAATATCAATTTGCTGTCTGAATAGTAAAAAGAAAGAAAATTACATTGCATGCATTTTGCTATAATATCAATTATTAGTTATGTTACATTAATTCAACGTAAAATAAGTATAAAGGTAATAATAGCACTAGTATAGGTATGTATATTACTATACATGGTGTTCAAAAATGTACTGCATGTTGATAGTTAAAATAATACCTTCACAGGAATTCGAAGTGAAATATATATTATAATCTTTTTACAATAGCTATTTTATGTAATTGAAATGGCTTACAAGTTGCTGGGTCACGAGATGGTAAGCGGTAATCGTTGTTTATATACCTCAATAGCACCAAGGATATGACGTTATCATGTCATCATCATCACCATACGTAATACCAGTTATGAGTAGCCATTTCGAAGACAAGATATTTACTGTAATTTCTTTGCATTAATCGCACCCTACAATAGATACAGCTTATAAAGTGTGCTGTTTGGCGACTCAAATAGAGAAGTATCCACGCAGACGACTCTACAATATCCACCTGTTACGTATGTAGTAGGGGCTGCATTTATACTAGTTTTGTTGTATATATAGAAAGTATAATAAAAGTAAATTACAGACAAAAGTTGTGTATAAAACAATTAAATTAGGATCACAAGAAAATGAATCTGCCTGCAGAAGTGATTTCTGTAGTCTATTATTTTCCCGCGCAAAACGTAATGCGCTACAGATCCACAATATTGCTCGGCGCGCAGCCACAGTACGATGTTATGGCTGTATGGCGACGTAATATTAGTATGTGTATTAAAATTACTTCTGTAAATATAATAACAGTTTAGGTAAAGAAGTATAGCTTATTTTTAGCCACCTTTACAAATTTCACGCTACATTTTGACTGAGTTTTGTTTATCATATCGTATTATTCATGATTACATTTGGATTTTTTATTTTTTTTTTTTCAAAGACCTTGCTTGACTATGATTTCAAGCAGTACATTTTTAAATACCACATAGTACGAATTGTAGCTATTGTACAATCAATTGCACTGATATAAAAGCAGTACTGTCTCGTAGTGACATTGCTAACTATTATCTAATATTTAAATTTTATATCAGTTGAGTATTACTTTGACAAGGTGCTAGTGTTTCTTACGCATTAGCGCAGGCAACTGTGCATATTTCATTGAATTTAATGTTCTATTTTTCCTGGAAGGTCGAAGGTTGGAGTAGAAAAATAAATTGTTAAGACTGATAATAATAATTTCCGTACAAAATGTCTATTACAGTAAAAGTTGTACAAATATTTGGCGTGTATACATATCCAATGAAAATTTCCTATTTGAATAACAAACCTTATTGTATCTATTCTTTGTTTCAATTCCAACAACATTAATTACATTAATTTTTATACATATTATTATTATTATATAATTTTGACAGTATCTAATGCATTCGTCAGATCCGTCTCGAAATTACAATATATCATACAAATAATTTAAGTTACATTGAAATCTAAATAATATATCGATGGACTTTGTTCCCCATCTGTACTATACAAGTATTTACAAATAAACTTGTACTTGTTGTTACTTATTCACGCAAAACTACTAAATAGGATTTTGGTGAACTTTTACAGTAATATAGCTTATACGTCAAAATAATAATGGCTGTATTTTAAAAAGATATGATGTAAATTGCGCGAAATATAATGTTAAATGTCAAGTGAGTGTGATGCAGATAAAGTTGCATGGTCCACCAAGCACATCTACTTGTATGCGGGCGTTTCTATTCCTCTGTTAATTAAACCCAGTTTAGCACTATTCATACGTGTTGCTAATGTACGGGCCACATGGTTTTATAATCTATATTTTTTACTATTAAGAATTTTATATTCTTGAAAAGGAGATGGACGAATATGGAAAAAAAAATATATTCCTTTTTTTTATACCTACATATTAGTCAAATAAAGATTTTGATAGACAACCAGTTCTAAGTTAAAGAGAACAAAGTCATCGATATTTGCAAAGTTATTCCTTAAACTAGGTACTTAAGCACCTATATTACACACATTGAATTCTAAGCAGTCGTGTCTATGGACATATGTAAAATGTCCATTTGATAAGTCGATTTCTTTTGCTAAATTTTCTACCCCCTGTATCCTAAATATAAGCTAAGTTAATAATTATAATGACTAGACATGTGACATACACAGGCAATACTTGATGGCATATTATGTACATCGATTAATTAGAAACTATGTTTCAATATACATATATGTATTTTACATAATTACCTATATATAAAACGTTTACTTTATTTATTGGGAATTTTAATTGAATTACGGAATGGTATTGTATATAGATTGATAACATCAATTTAGGTAAAACGAATATAAGTATGTTTTTAAGCTATTAAATTTTTTTTTTGCCATATTTTAATAGCTTAAAGGTATACACATATATATTATACCTAAAATGTAATATGGTAATAGGCGTATTGAATTTTCAAAACATATTCTCTATTTAAAAAGTTAGATTTAAACTTATTCCAAAAGCCACGGCGTCAGTTTGTGATGTCACACCTACGTTTTTTATTGGTCTAAACAGCTAGTTACATTGTGTCATCGACAGATTATAACAGCCATACCATAACCATAGTTGGTTGACAGTTTTACAGAATGGTTCAAGACAATATAATAATGTACATTATATAGGCGCTATTAGGTGCAACGTGATGCTGATTGGTGTTCACATAACATGACGTCTTCATTTATGTTAAAATTCAACCAATATTTTATGATCATGCCTATTAAAGTAAGAACTAAAATACTGATATGGACGTCATAAAATAGAAAATGGTAACTAAATGTGAACGATGTAAAAAAAAATTCCAATCATAAATCCCCCAATTCAACACAGTTCCTTTCAGTATTGTAGTCACTATATAAATTATATAATGACTACAATATTTTACTATAGAATTACTACAATGTTTCTATATAAATGGTAACGGAAATTTGACAAAAACTTATAGAAAACGAATCACCTTCGAGCACAAAATCTTAAATCTAATATTATAAATTAATAAAATAAATACCGAAATTATTAAATAATACTCAATTGGGCTATGCCTCTAAACGCATAAATTATTTTAAAACCACATTGCACTGTGATTTGCATTTTTTAAATAATATCTACATATTTTTATTGCACTACTTAATCAATAATTAAATAACTAATTCATCCTTTCTACGCTAGATGGCGCTGCTCAAAAGTAATTAGGTAGTCATAATTATCCGGCTCGAAGGCCCATATCGTGATTACCTAATTACTGTTATTATAATTATAAATCAAAACACCACCGCACATAGGAAACTGTATTGAAGAATATGAGCAGCGTTATCTAGAGTAGAAATGATGAATTAATCGCGACATTTGTTTTGTTTTAAATGAATTTAATTTAATTCGAAATTAAAGTTGATTGACCTTATTCATAATACTTGCAGGTCTACTTTGGAGTCGCAATCTCAATGACCATTCTATTCAATTTGAAAAGAACAGTATATTCCTTTTTTGTGCTGCTTTTTAAAAAAGTTCAATTAATTAGAATAATATCAATTAGTTCGTTCATTGAACACAAAATATGGAATTATTACATTGATTGTACATATGATTGATCCGTTTTAAAACTGATTAAAAATACACCATAAAAATCCAATCCAATCGGAATTAGTTGCTAAAGTAGACCGATTGTACTTCACTAGTATGTATAGTCCGGAATTACAACTGTTAATACATAATCGTTAATAGAAACAATTGCAATCGCGTCTCTCCAATTGCATGGTCTAGTACAGGGATGAGCAACTTTTTTAATCAAGGTGCACGCGGGCCACGTATCGCTCATCCCTGGTTTAGTATGTTTTGTGTGTGCTAATTGTAAAATTATTCGAAAGTATTATTGTCTCTTAGTTTTTAGTCTTTACTAGCTGGGTCCTCCACTTCGTTCCCATATACTCTTATTTGTAAAACGTGTGGAATAAAACAAACAAAAAATTGTAAGTGAAGCTTATACAATATCTAAATGAAATCCGCACGCAAATCGGTTAAGTCGTTTATGAGATTATCGATACATTATTTTATTTCATTGATCATTCACAAATAAATAGTTTTTCAATTTTTCATCTACAGATAGCGATAGGTAATGTGTATAGAAAAATGATTCAGTTAGTGCATCACACAATCCAAGCATAGAAGAAAAATTAAGAATATTATAAGACATTAATAAACCACTCCCACAATATTTTAAGTAGGTTAGAAAGTTTTTTTACAGCATAGAGGACAAACGAGCGGCTCACTTGATGTTAAGTGATTACTGCCGCCTATGAGTACCCACAACACCACAGGAGTTGCAAGTGCATTGCCGACCTTTTAAGGATTAAACTCTTTTCTTAAAGATTTAAATATGGTATCAGTAGGTTTTGTTTTGAGTATGAGCTATGAGTATTATAGTTATACGTGTTAAGTACAATAAATCGAAAATAAAATAGAAGATATAAATATAAAAAATATACCAGAGATGGCATTAGAATCGCTCCCTGCGTGGGATTTAAATATACCCAGCGAAATGTGCATGTCAAGTTTTGCGTTCAGAATGACGTCGATAATTGACAATGCCTCTGACTTATTAGGGATAACAGGCGTTATAATATGGTACAGTGAAAGAATTACTCAAATCGATGCAGTGCTTTCGGAGTTTTCTGTCCCTATAACAAAATCTCTCGTTTTAATAATACTTAAATCTAATATAATTTTTAAATCAACGTGCGAAGTTATTATTTAAAATATTATTCAATAATTACTGTTCACGTATAACGGAATGATCTTATATTATATTGTAAATTTCAAATATTTTCGACACAATGTTCAATAATGATTACGCTTTCAATTCAAACTTTTACAAAACAATTTACAAGCCAACCCTGTAATAATAATTTTACGTTTTGTAAACACTAATCTGAATAGCGTCCCTCATTAATGAGAAAAAATTAAATATCCAAAAACTTTCATATATCGTACACTAATACCGTCTTAATATCAATTTCAAATGATTTACACACAGTACTAAACTTAGGGCCAATATTAGAGCAGTAGTGGGAAGCATTCTGAATCGGTTCTTAGATTGCCTCGTGTGTAGCTAAATTGAGACTGATTTTACAATATCAGAGCAGTGGTGGGAAACACTTTGGGTTTATTTCTAGATTAGTTTGTGTGTTACCTTGATAAATTGGGAGCGATTTCACAATATCTGAAGCGGTGAGAAGGATCGGTGCATAGATGGTCTGTAGTTAAATTCGGACCGACTTTATCACAATAGTGATAAAGTCGGTCCATTTATCACAATAGTGATAAAGTAAAATTGAATTGGCGAATACGCCAATTCAATATTACCCCTACCACTACTGTTCCGATATTGCCTTGAATTTAGTGTCGTGTATAAATCATTTTACAATTTATAGTACTAGGCAACAAATGCCAATACATTCGCAGAGCAATATATTGCAAACTGAAAAAGTACGTTAAAGTTTTTGTGTTATTTCTCCTTTTAAGGGACTGTCACTTTAAACCACTACCTTCAAGTCACTCACTATTTATATTTTGTCTCTTTTCTTGTAGAGTTCTGTTCCAAGTCAATTTCTTTACACTTTAATGGGCATATTTGGTTTGCAACAAAATATATTTAGTACACTACTAGTGTTTATTTCTCTATACATTGACGTGTGTTAGACGAAGCTGTATTGATTGTCCACGGCTCGTACATCGTGGTGGGCTCCGCTGGCCACCAGTAGGGCTTCCAACTCGGCTCTGCGCATTCGGACATCACTACCGTGACTGACACCCAGCTGAAATATTAATAATGCACATTACAATTCATTGAATGTAGTTTTTAATGATAATAATAAAGCTTTTTTACAAATGCTGATTTCAGTATAAAAATATAATATACTTTATGGTTTAGGTCTGTAGGTACATTTCGAAGTGTTTTATAAATTTTAATATTTATATGTTTTTCAACAAATTAACGTCTCGTCTTAATAGTATGCCTCTCATAACATAGTACATTACTAATAAAAAAAACTGTTCAATTAAAAAAGTAAGCTGACTGTAAAAAGCAAACAAAAATAGCACGTGAATGGAAAAACTTACCAAAAAAATGTGCGCATTCAAAACACAAAACACAGGCATAAAACGAAGTTAAACATACAGCAAATAAAAAATAAAAACAAAAGCCATTCCATAGAATAAGTTTAATGTAATAAAATTTACAACCAAGAAATTACGATTAAAGCTCGGAAGAACAATGATTTCGTATGTACAAAACATAAACAAAATTAGATAATATTCTAAATACAATTGTTAGTACATTACATTAACAGTCCGCCTTGAAATTATTAAGTTATTGATAAATAGTTCTATACTAAATATAATTAAGGCTTCATACAAAGGCCGTTCTTAATTTAAATCTTTGTTGGATACATGATAGATCCCCTATTATTTTGGGGTTGCCATAAAATACATCAAGTGGCAAATTTTAAACTGGCAATGTATTTAATACTCTATACAACGAAATCATTATGAAATGCAATCAATGATAAATTATACAATAAGAATGAACTAAATCTATTTAAATACTACAATGATCATAAATCTAATATAATTGTGATCTGTACCTACTGGCAGTAGATAATATTGTGATATATTTTAAGTAAATTAATATATGATAATTAAAGAACATTTAACAATTTTTTACAATCAATAAATAAATGGCGATATTCTAAAGTATCGTAATTATTTGTATGATAAAAATAGCCATATAAAAAATATAAGCTCTACGTATATTTTTTATATACAATATTTTTTTACTTATAAAACAATTAAATGAAATTTTTCAATGATTTGATATTATATACTTTATATATATTTAATTACATTTTTAGGTTACATCTTTACTTCAAATTCACTTGAGAAAGTTGAAAACAAGATGCTTCAAAATATGAGTAGAGTATTAAAAAGAATTAGCTTTTTTAAATAAATTTCATAACTCCCTTTGAGGACCGTAAATTATTTGCCCTACATTATATTTCCTTTAAAATATGATGTTATTCAACATTTATTTATAGCAAACGGGTATTGTGACAACGTTCCACATTATAGTAAGAATGAAAACGTAACATTTAACTGAGAATGTATAAAAAAAATAGTTTAATAAAACTAAAATTAAAAATAACTATTTGTTACATAAGGCATAGCAGGATAAGATACTTAACTTTCTTTATTTATAAAAACAGTTTTGTTTTATTTTCTTAATAACCATTTTATAATAAATATATGTTCATTATATAAAACACGTGAGAAACGGCCTAAAATATTCGAGGTGTTAGGTTGTTGCACCAAATTTTGTACCAATGTATCAAATAACGATAAACGCTTTACTTATAGCCGTTTAGTGTATTAAATATAAATTAAGACAATTTATTCATACGGCTAATATTATTATATAATATTTATACATATATTTAGATAAATATGACTGGGATTTCATAGCATCGTGCGTGTAATTCGGTGGGACTACGACTAAGGTTTCAATAAAAAAAAAAAGAAACGAGGAGGGTTTATCAGTACTCTGTGCGGTATGGTAAGGTGCGGGTGACAAATGTACGAATTAAAAATAAATTATATATGATTTGACATTTCTATGATTACTGAATGAATATTGATTTGCTTATTGCAATTAATTATATTATAGAAAATTGAACGACTTTTGAAATTATATTATTATTGAGGTTATTTTTTATGACAACTTGAATTTGTATACTTAACATTCAAACACAATGTACATTGTTCATGAATAAATAAATATTAATTCTGATGGCAGCGCTAGAATATTATAGTACTTAGGTTAGCTTAATAGGATTTCCCATTTGACACTGAACTGGCCTATAAATTTTTGTTAGCGAGAGAGAGAGAAATCAGGACTGCAATGTCCGACGTCTCAGTCTTTCTCATGTGTGGAACTGTGATCGAATAGTTATTAATAGTGTTTATAGTTTTTTATTTAGGAATAAAAGAAAAATAAATTTCTGAAATAATGGGAGCCAAGAAGCTGACGGCTGGCCTGATGCGATCACTACTTCCTGTAGACATGATCAACACCACAGACATCAGAGAAAGTACTGATAAATTGTCATATGTATGTACTTACATATTATACACCCATATTTCGCATACATTTTTTTTTATAATCAAAATAATATACGAGTGGAATGGTAAATAAGTCGACCGTAATGGTAACCATCATCTATATAGCACCACGAACATTAAAAATGTATAGTGACAACCGTTGCCGAATATAGTGTAATTAAGTTTTATTTTTCTTTTATTTTCTCTTGTGCTATTATTTCTTATATTTCGTTTTAGTTATTTATATGTAGAGATTTCTTGCTTATAAGAGGTATATTACTGTTCAATATTCAGAATTAGGAAAATAATGGTACTTTATTGTACCTAATAATTAATGCATTTTTATATATTTAACATATTTAATAATTAAATATTGCTTTAACTATACTTTTGTTATGAGTGAAATCTTGTTTAAGGAACATGAGTCTACATTTAAGAAAAACTATATTATATTCAGACTGTCGAAAACATGTTTGAAACTGATAAAATGTATTCATTACAATTTGTAATGAAGATTATTTATGTTTTCTATGCTTCTCTTTAACGTCTAAATTACATTATAAAAAACAACTGTATAAGTATGATACTTGTACAATAGGTTTTATTATCATTTTATCTTGTACTTTAAACAAGATAAAATGTAAGGTTTTAGTGTGTTTTAAACTATAGATGTAATTTAGGATGCTAAATATGTAAGCGATCTAGCCGCTTTCCGATATCACTTTTATATGCTGAATTCAGTTATTAAAAAAATTCTCATAACCCTTTTGTAATGTTTTCTCGCAAACAGTACATAATTCGGACACAATTTATGCATATTAAGTTTAGACCACATAGATAACAAGACTGTTATAAATTCAATAAAATTATACTTAATACAGTTTTAATAAAAGTGAACATTAATAAACCCTATTGCAACATCAGAGGGTTCAAATTATAATGAAAATAAAATCATTCTGTTTTTGTTTAAATACAAAAGATCACAACTGGTGCTGTGGAAAATAACCTTAGTTGCGTATAAGAATAGATGTCAATATTGACTCTTAGTTTGTACCAGTAAAGCTTGAGCGACAGGTATAATAATCTCATGGTTCCTCACACCACACTTCATAGTTCTACATAAGCTATTCTCGATTGTTCTATATAGATACCTCATTAATTAAAACAAAATTACGCAGTGCACTCACAGTGCATAAAACCTGCTACCAAATTACATTCCCTGCTATAAGGCGTAGTTTAACTTACTTAATGGAATTTCATGTCATTTATATTGTTAGTTGGATCTATTGAAAATATTAATTTGATGGTAAATGATGGTATTTATGTCTCTCGATATTAATAAACATTAAAGTTTAATAATAACTAAAGGAATTTCATTTAATGAGATAGCATTAAATATTTATATAAAATAAACATATATTTTCTTCATTAATCAATCAATCAATTGAAAATACACTTTCATTTAGGACAATCTTTGATGACTTTTAGTACTACCAAAGCAAACTGTGAGTGAAGCTGGGAAAATTGTACATTGGCCTCCAATGTAAAATAAACTAAATATTTGCATACCCTAAATAGACTCACTTAGGTTTGATTGTATATACTAGCAAAATCGGCAAATGAGTCTAAACACCACTAAAAGTTGTCTAAACATGAGTCTAAATGAGACCAAATAGTCTAAAAGCAAAACAGGGATAAAAAAATATATATATATCAAAATAGATCGCCAATAAATTCAACTTTGACAGACCGCACCACTGCGTTAGTGAGATGGAAGACCACTCACCATATCCAATATCTCTTTTAACAACTACTCAGATGAGTGCCAGAGTAGACAAGAAAGACCAACACTAAAAGCAAAATTTTACTAATTTGTTCTTTAGACTAAAACTTCGTATTTACCTCTTCTTACAATAATGAGATTTAAAAGCGGATATATATATTTTATCCAAATTGGAAGAGCTGATAAGAATCGTTAGAAAACGGTTTTGTTATTAAAGAGACTTGAATCTATTCTATATATTTGCTATTACAGATAATGGACTCGTCGAACTTCACTATGAGACTAAAAAATCCGTTCACTGCTATGTATGTGATAAGACTTTTATTTCGGATTCTAGATAATTTAATAATCTGTGGTTCTAAAGCTAATGACGGCATAAAGGCGCTGTTATAAGACGTTCACACCTTATTAGAACCGGTCGTCCCTCTTTTCGACGACTGTCATACAATTGATGCATTTCCAGAGTCCTCTTTGGAAATGTAGCAATGAATGCGCCAACGATTCGTTAGCACGAGTCGTCCCACGGATCCCTATAAAGTGGACTCCTAACTATACTAATCTGTCTGTTACTATAAACGCGAAAGTAATAGACAGACAGTCTGTGACCTTTTAATGAATAAAGGACTGAACGAATCTTAGTGAAGATATATTGTATTAGCTGAACTGCGCAACTTCGCCAGCATCACACTTCGCATTTATCATTATTTTTCGACCAATTTAATTTTAAATTATTTGATGTATCGTTACAATCCGTACAATAGTTTTTGCGTGGCAGAGTAACAAATATCTATCCATACTCATACTCACAAGCTTTCGCGTTTATAATAATAGTAAGACAACGAGGCTGGACAAAGGCCATCCATTGTCGCAAATAAACAGATGAAATCGCGTGTCACAGCTAATAATTGTCTATTTACATGTTATAGAACAATCGAGAAGTGCATATACGCTAAGAAACCGTTGCGAGGCTCACTTGTTGTCTGGTCCCGTCCTGGCACACGACGTACTCGGTGAGCGTGACGTCGGCGGCCCCGCCCGACTCGAGCGGTATGGGGTTGGCGCGGAAGTGTTCCAGCATGTCGTGCACGTTGGGGAACCATAGGTGTTGCACCCGGCACTGGCCTGTTTCGCTCAACGTCATCCGGAGATGTTTGGCACGACCCTGTAAATTATACATGACATTTTGAGAATGTTATATGATATGTTGGCTAATTTCGAACTAGTTTTAATAATTTAAATGTTAGTATTATACCTATTTTTTTTGTTAGAAATAAGTTGGTATTATATGGAATTTCATTTCTAATTATATTATATTTTTCTTTCTCATTCTTCTTGTATACATACATACATAAAAAAATGACTATTCAAAAGCGTGTAGGTATATGTATGTATATATATATTTTATTGATGATAATGAAATGTATACGCTGGCGTGGCACCATTTAGCCCATTATGGCAAATCCAACAGGAATTTATCATGGTTTCTAGGGGGAACCACATGGAAGGCAACCTGATATGGTACTATACATTGCTAGGAATGGGTTCATTAGTTCATTCCTATTATTAAGAATATCATTCCACCCTAGTGCTTATATTAAGTTTATTTGAGTGAAGATTATTTTAATTTCTATAATTGTGATTGTGGTCGAACTTGACTAGTCACCTGTTGGAGAACTGTGGGAAATGAGGGCACCAAATTCTAAATATCTTTATACATGTAGGTCTATTACAGACTCTTATAATATGTCAAATCTACCGTCAGTTCGGAATGATTTCAAGATGAGAAGAACTGACAAGAAACTCAGCTCGTATACTTTTCAAATAAATGTTATACACGTTTATAATAATACAGATTCATTTCTTAATTCAAATTTGGGAGAATGGAATTCAAATTTGCCAATATTTCTAACACGATCACTAGTGCCTGTTTTACCTCCATACCGTCCTGAGTGTGGCGCTGTAGTCGCTATCGAGTTTTACAGAATACCAATATACAATTCGTAAGCGACGCTTACGGAATAGCTCTACAGTCCCCCCGAGCGGTTCCCGAGTATGACCGACCTGAAAGTTGAAGGTGAGCACGTACTCCCCGCGGCGCGTCTCGCTCTGCCGCACGAGGTAGCAGCCGTGCGCGGCCACGCCGCCCGCCAGCACGCAGGCCGCCGCCGCCGCGCGCGCCAGCGTCCCGTGGAACCACGGCCACTCCGTCAGCGACACGCGCGGGGCCTCGCACGACTCCTCCGCTATTGAACCTGCGCACGCGCACTCCCGTCACATACACTACTTTATTTAATGGATGATAATTAACTAGTGCTCCCGCCTGCGCTAACGGTTGCACGACTCCTCCGCTATTGGAACTGTACACTCACATTCTCATTCCTCTCTATTTTTTTTATATCAAACAGGATGGCGCTTCCACCTGGGCTGACGGTTGCGCGCTCCTCCGCTATCGAACCTGCACACCTAAATTCTCATGCTTTTCTGTCTTTCTTAAAATCATTGATAAGGAAATAATGCTCCCGCATGTGCTAACGGTTGGACTTCTGCACTATCAAATCTGCACACCCACACTCATGTCATTCTGTATTTTTTTAAATCGATGTTAATGGAATGGTGATTTCGCCTCCTCTAGCAGTTTATAATGGCGGGGCAGTAGTTAAGGATCATGGTCAGGTCAGTTAACCCACCGTGACAATTTCACCAGGAATCACGATGGTTTCCAAGGAGAACAGTGTAGAGGTCAACCTGACATGGTACATTGATAGCAAAGGTTAAAGATACACGTTTGCTTCCAATTTTCGATATTCAGGTCAAAATTTCATTACCTAATTCAGCCTCCTCGGGTGTGTCTGTAGCCAAATCTAGATTACTGGTGCTGGCTGGTAGGTCGCGTCGCGGTGGCAGATCAGGTGGTGCCGGTTCAGGCATTCCGGGTAGCGCGTCGGGCGGTGGCTGAGTAGTAGGAGGCGAACGCATGCAGTACTTTATTGTGGCCAGCCACGATTTCATGTCATCCACATCTTCTGCTTCTATTACATACTCCATATTATTATCTGCCTGTAAATTTTAAAAAATGTATACAATTTTTTATTACTCTGTTTTTTTTTTATTTATAGTGAAGGGCAAACTAGCAACAGTAAATGATAACAATTTTTTTATTAAGGAATGGCATACCAAATTGTGCTAATGGTTTATAACAGGGCATCAGTGGGGGATGATAGGATGAGCATAAAGTCAGGTTAGTTAGTCCAGGAACTTATTATGATGGTTTCCTGGAGAAACAGAGTGGAAGTTACCCTGACTAGGTACTTTGCTAGCAATGGGGTTAACAGTTCACATTACTAACAAATAAAAATATATATAAACTAATGAATACAAATGTTTACTCCGTTCAAGTAATCAAACTAGAAACTATTAAAAGTAAGGAGAACCACAGAGCTTGTCAGTTATCTAATACACAACATAAAGCAATGTTTAGCTGTTGCTTAGATGGAGCTGTGTGAAATCTCTAGGTTTATTTTTTAAAATAATATCTGAGATCTTTTGAAAATGTGTGCATATTACTAAAATAATAATACTTTATCACAGAATAGTCTGTGGTTTCATTAAGGCTAGGGAGAGAGTTAGTTATATATAACCATCACAATATTTAATTACAATATTTTCCCTTACCATACTATATAATTATTAGGTCAATGTAGGCAAAGAATATCAAATACCTAGCAATAAATAATAATAAGTCAGGATAATTCAAATAGCGCCATCTAGTCCCAACCAAGCTAAGCAGTATGTTGCTTGTGTACTTAACAATAAATAAAAAAAATAAGACAAAACCCTCATACTCATGAATGCAAATGTATGTATTAGGGGTAAGGGAATTGTTAGTAATGTGGATTATTGATCCCATTGATAGCAATATACCATGTCAGGTTGGCCTCCACACATTTTCTGTTGAATGCCAGGTGAATTTGTCACGATGGGTTAACTGGCGTATCATCATGCTCATCTTATCATTCTCCACTGCTGCCTCGCCAGCGCAAACCGCTAGCGCAGGCGGGTGCACCATTCCATTATCATATATTTAAAAAAAAATGTATGTATTGCATGAATCAGTGTATTAAACCACTAGATATCCACAGCTTTTAAAAGTTTTTATAAGTTTGGTGTAATTATATATTTATGTCCTTACATAATAATAATATTCTCACGACAATTCACACAGCGCCATCTAGATCCAAGTTTAGCTTGTGTTGGTACTAGACAACTGATACAAATACATAGAAAACATCCAGACTGACATAAACAATCATACTCATGAATACAAATGTTTGTACCGTGCCAGGAATCGAACCCGCGGCCATCGGATGTAAAGCGGTGTGCTAGACCATTAGACCACCGAGGTCATGGTATTACAATAACTGACAATAATCTGATATCTAAATATCAGTATAAACTTTAGTAGGTTAGGCTCCATTGTTGGCAATGTTCCAGGGCAACCTCCACAATGTCTCCCTGGAACACCCTGATTATGGTCAGGTAACTAATCTGACTATACTCATCTTACACTCACCCTACTGGTGCTCCACCAGCAAATACCATAGAGCAGGTTTGTGCACCAGTACATTATCATCCATTAAAAAAATATCAACAACAAACATACCTACTCATAAAAACAATGTAAAGCATATTTTTTTGAAACAATTGTCATGTTTTTTTATTAATTATTATTGATTAGTCAAGTGTGTACATTGTCAGTTCTGACTCATGGAATTGTTTATGGTATCTAACTTTTTTTATGTATATAAGGATAACATGATATAGTTTTTAATAGTCATCATGTAGGTAATATGATGATTATTACAAAGTTTATATTTCTATATGACATAGTTTTTAAAGAAGTATACCATATGTAAAGTAGACATATGTTAGGTACATATTTATACAAGGAGTATAAATTCTATATTGAAATATATATTATTATTATTGATGGCCCCTGTGGTGTAACAGTTTAGCATACTATCTTATTTCTGGTGGTCTCGGGTATGATTCTACGAATGGTAGTTTATCTTTATGAATATGACTGTTTCTACCGATCTAGGTGGTTTGAATATATATTTTGTATGTATTTACACACAAAATGTATGTATGTATTTATATTAGTTGTCTAGTATCCAAAACACAAGCTCTGCTTAATTTGCAACTAGATGGAACTCAGGACAATGACACAGATATGATATATATTTATATATATATATATAAATAAATATTACACAACCCTTGATATGGTATATGTGGTACCATATATCATAATGTTATAAATATATATATTGAATAAAAACAATAATAACAATAATGGGTAATTGACAATGACTGTTCAATTGATAATAACCAAAAATGTTATGTCTGTTTACCATTAAAAATGCTAAGATATTAAAAAACAGAATGGTAAATAAACTGCCAGCCCATCTGATGGTAAGTGCTAAAGACCGCATATATAAAGCAATATTACTATGAACATCATATTATCATGTGACACCAGTATTCATGTGTTGTCATTCTGGAAGACTGAGATGTTATACCTCTCAAGCTGTAGTTTCGCACTGTAATGGAAACACCATATACAAAACAAGATGCTTGACGGGTGTAATGAGAGACTGAGGTACCCACGCAGGCAACTTTTTAGTCTACCTCAGCACTTCTTGTTTTCCTCTGCACTATGCTATAATAGCACAACTTATTTATATATTTACTTTATTTATAAAGCTTACCTTCAATACAAATGTATTTTCATGATCGGGCATTTCAAGTGCTGTTGTTTCCCTTGCCTCTGATATTAAAAAACAAAACACACCACTTCTAGGTTTCTGCGATTTTGGTGGTGAATAGAATTCTAGCATATAACCTCCTACCGTTTTCACTAGTGCCAGTCTACATTTCTCCCATTTCTGTGGACTCCCGGGCTGTTCCAGGCTCTCTGGAGTCAAGTAATTAACCAAACCCTCTTTCCTACATTCTACAACTATCTTAGCTAATTTAGTCTTGTTGTGTTTATTTAGGTTAGTAGATAACTCTACTTCATCTGAATGCTGCTTATGGAACAGTCCTTTGCCTCTTCTTAGACCTTTAAAAGATAACCTTCTGAAAAATGGTTTATGTTGTGTTTTAGGGGAGTCCATTTCTTCTGAGTAATCGCTTTCATCGTGTCCTGTATGCGTTCCGTTGGGTATCTTATGAATAACTTTTAATTTGACCATTTCCAACTCAAATTGCTCGGAAAAACATTCACAGAATCTCTTCATAAGTTCCTTGTTTGTTGCGGGCGGGCGGACCACGGGGTCATTTGTATTGGTCTGTATGTATTGTATGCATGCCTTGGCGAAGTCCTGAGCAGCGGCCCGCGCCTGACGCTCGCAGAACTCGACCCAACCGTCGGCCTCGCCGTCGGACGGGCCCGCCATGGCATTGGCAAGCAGTTTCTTTAGCAGCTCCACTTGTACTGCGTTCTTGTACACAACATAAAGAAATAAATAGTAAAATCAATTGCCACTCGTATACACTTGCGTTAATTATCGCATGAGGAGTTCTTTTAATTTGAAATCAAAATAATATTCACGATGCGACTATACAGTTTGGCGAAAACAAGTTTTGTTGCCATAAAAAAAAAGTATGTTTACGACTAAAAACCGGTTACTAAAGTTAAATAAAAATCACATTTTTATCAATTAACCCACATTATAAAAATATTTAATAAGTAAAATTTGGAGGAATAGATACTAGTAAAATAAAATTACCGTAGAAATCTAAAGTTAACTTACTTTGACAATAACGCCCTCTTTTGGTGGTATTACTATACTAACCTGAGATTTAAAAAGGATGGATGTTTTCTTTGTTTCCTAGATGTCTCTGCTAGAATATATATATGTAGTTAGATCTGTATGTGTATGTGGCAAAGAATAAAGTAAATATACCAAAAGGTATATTATACACAATCATTATTTTATTCCCTATAATAGGGTACCAAATTTATATTATTACTGTTATTATAATACAAATAGGCACATAACTAAGCCATGTAGCTACATGTTATTTATCTGGGTGACTGCCTCAACAAAAAGACTCGAGTAGCACAATAATTTCTGTCATCGTGTTCAATTCTCAACGATGCTTTTTATAACCCTTGTGAATAATTGTGTCACAGTATTGAGATCATAGCAGTCAAAGCTGATATTGTACAAGCATTCAATGAAAGTCTAACCTACCCAAATAAAACAAACTTGTAAAATGTTTTTTTTTATAATGAGTCGCTATGTATTGTTGTATCGAGAGGTAGGCAAAAAAGGTAGGTCTCCTTCCCCTGAATAGTTTAATAGCTATTTAGAATATAGGTACTTTCTATGCATCTTTTAGATCTTGCAAAAGCCGCGTATTGCGCCACAGTTCCAAAATGAAAGTTACATTATACAATTTAAATTAAGTAGAAATGCATATCATAATTTATGTTTATTTATTTGACTCTCGATAATAAAGTAGGTATATATTTGTGTTACCTGTGTTTAAAGTTTTTTAAGATTTCTTGAGGCTCTTTGCCTTACGCACTAAATATAGTTTCGTGTAGTACCTACCTACATATGAAAATTATTTTTTTTTTATAATTGTTTATTAAACCGCTTTCTTCTGATTTGATTCATGAGACTGAAATAAGAGCGTATGATTGTTAACACCGATAATTTATAACTTGTGAACTACAATATACTACTTATAATCCATCAATGTCAGAACAATTCCTGTTGATTATAGATAATTTACCATCCCATCTTATAAACTAGTATTCACAATCCTACGGTTACATATCCATTAGGTAGGTAAGGGTGAGCAAAATGTACGCCTTTGGTGTCAGACATCCATAGCGGTAATTGTTTACCATCGGGGGGATCGGCGATCATTGGTAATGTGGAATGTTGACCCCATTGCTAGCCATCTATCATGTCAAGTTGACCTCCACGCGGTTCCCCCTGGAAACTATCATGATAAATTCCTAGTGAATTTGTCACTATGGGTTAACTGACCAGATCTTATGTTCATTTTATCATTCTCATCTGGTGCCCCGCCAGCGTATACCGTTAGCGCAGGCGGGTGACGGTTCTCCCGCCTACGCTGACAATTTACGCTGGCGCTAATATACCATTATCATCCATTAAAAAACCTGTTTATCATCAGATGTGCCTTATGCTTGTTAGGCACCATTGTGGTATACAAAAGAGGTACATATCTAATTATTTAAATACCAGGATCATGCTTTACCAACTCCTAAAGCAAGTAGAATTTTATGCTTTGGTTACATTCATACACTCGGATACGAGTGTGTATAGCGAGGGGATCGAATGTTATAACCATAGGAGGGTAAGGCCATATGTTAAATCGTTATACCATCATGGTCGTTGACAAATGTTTGCTTTCGTTATGTTGCTAGTTAATAGAAAATATCTAAAAATCTGTCTAGGTATTTAGGTATTCTTTATACAGTAGGGTTATAGAACTAACTACTACCTACTTACTCGTAGAATAGCAATAAAAATAGTTACCCAACCTCTAGAAATACCCAAGGACCACTTACATGCGTCATCACGCATCACATCTACTCCCATAAAACCCGTCTAGCGTCGATCGTAAAGTGTGCTCACTCTTGTGTGTCAAATTTCCAATAATCTTATTTTGGCGCGCATCAGACTCTCCGATGACGGAAATATGGGAGCCATCTTGCGAACGACGCGCATGCGCCCGGCCGTTCACCTGAACCGCGACGATAGTTTTATGACATGCCAGTTATATTTGCACAGATAAAAATATTATTATAGCACGGAACACCTTGACCACACAAAGAAATATCGGTCAAAATAACATTTTATGTCGATAGAAAATTTAATAAAAATAACTAAGTAACTCTAAATTCTCGATAAATAGTACATAAATAGAAATAGGTGTTGAGTTAGATACTTAAACATTAGGACTCAAACATTTTCTCTTTTGGGGAAGACGATCCGCTGATTGAATTACCTTTCGATGTAAGAACCGGCTAATATTTTTAATAATCCTATCTGTCACTTAACCAGCGAATTAAAATTACGTACAATTAGGTATTCGGTTTTCTTTGTGATATGTTCAATTCTATCCTATGACACATATTTAATTAACCACATATAATTTATCGTGGAATTTCTTACTTTAAAATGCCTATAGCGTACTTACCTACTACTTATTTATCTACCGAATCTGCGTGAACGCATGATTGCGGATTTGCTTGCTTTTTATAAATTGTGACGGTCCTGATGCATTCTTTGACATTTGGTAAGGTACTAGGTACGTGTCTCCGTACTATATTATCCTTGAAACCGAAAAATAGGTAATAAAGCATGGTATACATTTGACGGTAAAAATATGTTATGCTTTATATAAAATCTCCTTTGCTAAAATAATGTTAATAGTTATTGTATACTGTTTCTCTTATTCATAATTTGGACTTTATATATACCTAAAGTATTCTATTATGTTTTACCAAGAAGTCGTCTGTGTATGTACTTCAGTCCCTCTATTATATGATAACGAGATCAGTAGTGTTGTCCATGTATACTATACGGTAGACTACATGGTTCTCGCTTATAATAAGATGGGCAGTATGATGTTTGCCATACCAATTAATTAAAAAAAATGGTCTTCGTCGGTTTTTCTGTTTAACATCTGGTTACGAAACTTTCCGCGTCTTGTGCAATATGAAAGCGTTCTAGGTATTCTAGGTATAAAAACGCTCAGCTCTGACCAGATCCCAGACATGGTGATTGATGGGGGCGTGTCGTGAGTCTGCACTGACTCACTTTCGATCAATTCATCTCAGTATTTTACTGCATTCGTTTTATTTTGAGAATCTAGGTATACATTTTGTAATGACTACCTGTATCGAATTAACTAAGATGGATTTCGTACAAAGTCTGCATGAGTTTGACTCACCTGTTTCTGCTATTAAGCAACTTGTAAACTTTGTAAGCCGTATTTATGTTAAAAGATTGAGATAAAATGACAGGGTACAATGGCATGGTACCTTAGTCCACAGGAATGGTAATACATTTGCCGAACTGAAGAGGAAACACCACAACACATCCTATGTGTTTGTAGCCTACTCATGCATAAACGTAAAGATTACACTCTATCCTGGAAAAACTCTCTCTTTGGAAAGATTACGCTCTATCCTGAGGAGATAAAAACCATCACTCCTAAAAATATCCTTCAATTCTCGTTCTGAAAAAGGTCGAGCACAATAGATCTATGTAGGTCACAGTGTCAGGCACCTGACAATAGCCCAAACACCACAATAAAAATAAAAAAATGGTTGCGTCAAGTGACAACGTTCGTTCGTATTCGTAGTGCTGCTATGTATATGTAAATAGGCGACTGTTGCCATTTTTCATCATCATAAATTTTTTCCGTGATATTTCAGACTACATTTGTTGAAAATGCTTTTTTATACTATTATGGTGGCAAACAAGCATACGGCTCATCTGATGGTAAATGGTTACCGTAGCCTATGGACGCCTGAGATACCAGGGGTGTTACGTGCGCGTTGCCGACCTTTAAGGAATCTTAACATACTCTTAAAAAACCCCATGGTATGGTAGAGATAGTGAGAGAGTAGCGGTAGATTTTGTCTAAAGATCTCTTCAGTAGGTAGGTATGTGTGTTGTACCTAAAACTTGCTCTACGAGCCGTATTGCCATTTGAAGAGTCTCGCCTTAGTGAACGTACTGCAGTTAATCAATGTGTTCAATGGCAATGTTTGAGGATATAATCTGCATCACAATGGTAATATCTGTGATGATGCTGCTACCGTCGTCTATATTCATGAGGTTTATCTATGGATATACCTAGGTTGCCACTTACCATAGTATGTTAGGGTGATTTTCATTCCAGGTAGTATACCTGATTATTATTATATACCTATTGTATTATAGGTATATAATAATAATCTCAGTACAATTCACACAGCGCCATCTAGATCCAAGTTAAGCTAACTAAAGTTTGTGTTATAGGGACTAGATAACTAATACAAATACATAGATTTTTTTTCGTGAATAAATAGGTACATATTGTATATAGAAAACACCCAGACCGCTACAAACAATCATACTCATGAATACAAATGTTTATACCATGCGAGGAATCGAACCCGCGACTATCGGATCGTAAGGTGGTGTACTACACCGCTAGACCTCCAAGGCCGTCATTCTCATCCTGTCGTTAATATGATGATTTCATCCCCATCTTTTTAACATTCACTGGTTTACGTTTCATTACGAACCACCTAGTTCTCGCGTGATGCGCGCAAAGATAGACGAACAGATAAAACATGTGCATGTAAGTAAGTCTGGTTTTATTATTAGTACTTATTACTAAATGTTACAGAAACCGTTATATGCGAACAGTAGTTTACGATCGCTACCAATAAACAAAACTCTACACTTATACAAAGAAAGTTTCGTTTC